TTTAGTCCCTTAACATTTAGGGAGTGTATGTGTGTAGACATGGTGGTGTCTAAGGTGTAAGCGTGTGGGCTACCTTACAGGTGGCGTCCTCTGGCCGGCCTTGGGGATTTTCCTTTGGGGGGCCTCTTACCCCTGTTGCTTCATATACCACGTTCGGGTCGCTCCGGCCACCACGGGGGGAGAGAGGGGAAGGGAGGGAGGAAAAAGAGAGGTTGTTAACCATAGCATAAACACAAACATATATACAAAAAACGATTGAACTGATAAACCGTCTGGTCTTATCGCTCGCCAGACTTGTACGGGGCGTCTGCATCAGTGCATCTTGCCCTCCTACATCAGGGTCAGCTCGCGGATGCATGGTCCCGAACCTGTATGAATTTGACCTGAGGCCCGTTAGTGTTTGCATGAGCACGTCTGCGGGGTTGTCCCCGTATCCAAGCCTTCCCGCCCGTCGGTCCCTACGTCGCCCAGGGAGCTGGGGAGATTCCCATTCCATATAGGGGTCGCTGAGTTTCCTGTCGGGGGTGAGGGGGGAAGAGGGAGGAGCCCCGCCACCACTTCCATGGCGCGTCTACTAGCCAGAGTCCCTCTGTGTGAGTCTCGTTGGGTGTGGCGCCCCGACCCAGTCTGCCCAGAATGCGGGAGTGCCCACGTGAGTTTGTAGGCCTGGGTATAACCAGAGTCTAGCCTATGTGTCCGTTCCCAACAGGTGGGTGAATCTCAGCAAGGTGTTGTGTGTTATCACCTGTTCGCATGTGTACAGTAGCATGACCTGTCTGTGTCTGTTCCGGATGTTCCATATAGTATATCTATGTGAAATGGCCAGTTGGACCTGTGGGTCTGGTATCGGTGACCACTCGGTTGCTGAAAGTCGTTAGTGCATGTCAGAGGGCCCGGGCAAGGGTGGGGGGGGGGGGGGCCAGCAGGAGTTAGAGTCGCTAAAGTCAATCTTACAAAATATAAATCTGGTTTCCCCATCCCCCCCTCCCCCAGAAGCACCCCCATCCCCACCACCACAAAAGCGGCTACAAGTCCTCTTTTTAGATGAGTCCAACATCCCCCACCCAAAAGTGTTCTGTCGTCTCATTCTCTTATGGCAGTCTGCCATCGCGTTCCTTGTTCGGAAGGAAAAAGATATAGAAAGGGGGCAAACCTTTTTTTTCCCCTCCTTTTGTCTTTCTTTTGTTCTCTCCCCCCCCCCAACTCTAGTGTTTGTGGATATAGGATGGACCCCCCCACCCCGAATATATATATAGTTATTAATTTTTTATTTTTTTTTGTGTTTACCCAAGGATAGGGAAACCCTCTGCTCCCCTCGTGGTGTAGTGGGCTTTGGTTGTGGGCTTTGGTGGTATCAAACCCAGGAGGTGAGGGTGAGTCAATACCCGCCCCTCATGTCCCTTGTCATCTCACCCTCCCGGAGATGTCCATCTGGGCGAGGCGATCCGGGCGCGGGTGCCTGGTGTGTGTCCGTTCTACGGTGTGTGACTTCTTTCTCCCGCTGTATGCCATTCTCTGGGTAGTAGTTGCAGGTCTGTTGGATACGCCGTCCGCCATTGAAGGTCTGGCGGAGCCTGGAGGTCGAGCGCCTGGAGAAAAGCCACTGCATCCCCATCAGGTGGCAGGATCTTTGGTCTGCCATTCTTGAACGCCATAAGCTTAAAGGTATGGCCCCATGCATATTTTATGTTATGGGTTCTGAGGATGTCGGTGATCGGTCGCCATTCTCTGTGCCTCTGGAGTGTCGCTGGGGCCAGGTCCTGGAACAGGAGTAAAGTGTTCCCTTTATACTTGATAGGGCCTTCTCTGCTGTTCTTCATTATAGTTTCTTTCGTTTGGAAATGTTGGAAGCGCATGATGATATCCCTCGGCTGTTTGGCATCTATCTTCCTGGTTCCCAGGGCCCACAGTTGGGCTGGAATGTTTGGTGCTAGGGGTTTTAGGATCGCCATGACCGTGTCTGTCAGGTCTCCCTCCCCCTCTTTTTCTGGCAGGCCCCTCAGCCTAATGTTGTTTCGGCGAGAGCGATTAGCTAAATCTTCCAGGGCTGTCTCTGCTGTTATCAACCTGGCTGTGAGATTATTCACCCGACAGGTTACCTCATTGTGTGCCAGGACTGTTGCCTCTTGCCTGTGTTCCAGGGTTGCCGTGCGGTGCCCAAGTGCCGCGATCTCAGCCTTCACCTCCGGCGCGGATCTACTTATCTCCCCTGCCAGGTATGCTTTGACCTCCAGCAGCTGTGCCAGTATCTGGGAGGTCTCTCCAGTCGGCAAACCGTGTCCCTGGGGGGGCTCTGGGTGCTCCTGCACTGGGGAGGTCCTGGGGCTAGGGCGGCCACCATCTTGCCTCTCAGGCTGGGTTTCGCGGGAAACCGCAAACAGGTCTGCCACTGAGGCGCCCGTCTCCGACGGCCGTTTATGGGGTTTCCGCGGGGTCCGCTTGTCCATGCCACAACTGCCGGTGCGCTCTCGGGGTAGCTGGTGCTCGATGTTAGTGCTATTGTCGGCTATGAGGCCTCGGTTCGGCGGGAGCTCAGCTCACTGGCGTCCGCTCAGCATCGCGGTCAGGCCACGCCCCCGTATTAGGCCAGTTCTGAATGGAGCTCATCTCTCATGCGGACATTCACTCTGGTGTCCAAGCCACGCCCCCAAATGTATTAATCTTTGTAACGGACCATTTTGTCCAAAAGAGGTTAAAAAAACGTTTAAACGATATTCCCCTTTTTCAGCTGCACCGACAGCTACTGCAAGCACCAATCTCCTGAACTGCAAACGCACGAATTCACCAACTCCCGAACTGCAACCAAGGGAATACTCGAAACTCCCGAACTGGAGACACACGAATAGCTGCTAGCAGACAGACAGGAAAAGCCCCCAAGCGGCTTACACTCCTGGCAATCAGTCAGACTGGGACACAAAGGGTAAAAGGACCAATCACAGACTTACACATTTCAACCATCCCACAATGCATCACAATCCCTCCTCTCTGCCCTGGAGATAATTTGGGAAGTAATTCAATTATCTCCAAAGACAGAGGCAAAACTCCATTAACCACATGTCAGAAAACAAACAGTAAAAGACATAAAATTACCTACAGTTACATTCAGTACATAAAACATATATGTTCTACATATCCCCAGATAGCTCAGGTCTGAGCGCACATTATTAAGCGAATGGCGCTCAGACCACACGAATACAGTTTAATCGCCATGGAGCCAAAGTCTTTACACAGTCAGTTTCATGCGAATGGGCTCCATGGGATTCCTAGCTGGGGCACAACACACTCAAACAAAACTACCGAACACCAGGCCATTCGTGCACTTTCACCGAACAAGAAGGGAGGTCGGCAGCTTCAGCGGTGTTCGCGCAAAACTGTGTCCGATTTCAGTTCCATGAATTAAGCGTCGAACACCCCTGTGCATTCTCATGTTTAAAATGGCCGCGACCTCGTGTTCGTGATACGAATGGCGGCCACCCAGCATTCGTCAATTAAGCTGCGGTTAACCGCAGCTTCAGGGAGGTTAATTGCCGGCACACTCCAGCTCCCAGGTGGTCTATTTATTTGTGCGGTTGTTCAGTAGATTTAATCTACCGAACACCCAGAAGAAAAGCACGAATAAGTCTTTTCTGCAGGGAAAAAATAAGTCTTTTAACATGGGGCCATAGTCCAAAGGCAGCAGGAGAGCAACCAGGCTTCTCCAGTGTACAGTGGCGAGGTTGGTTTCGCCACAATCTTGTATTCTTGTTGTTTACAAGGCCCCTGGAATTGTTTGGTTTTTCTTTGATGTTTTCAGGTCGTACATTTACCACAACTAAAAAAAAAACATTTTGGTTGAGTCATAAGAAAAGTTGGATTACGGGTTTCAGTTGAGAGGAGACTAGGGGCCAATTTGTTTAAGTTAGTAGCTTTAAAAAAAAAAAAAAAAAGTCTGGAATTAAGTTTCCCAGGATATCTTCATTAAGTACATGGCAATGTTTTTTTTTTTTTTTTAATGGCTCTCTCTATTTGTTTTGGCATTTGCACTGTATTTGGTAATAAATGCTGTGGTGAAAGTAACCTCACCACTGGAAAAGTGCAAAAACAAAAGTGGTATACCGCGCCACAAGCGTATTTAAAGTGTACAGAGTGCAGTAAATGAATATACATACATACAGGGTTTTCCAATAATATGATGGTACATATACCCTTAAAAAGAACAAAGTACAAAACAATAATAGTGTAGAATGTCAATTAATAATATTACATATATAGTAAGAGGAGAGCCAGTAAAAGTGCTAACTCACACTTTGCAGAGCTACTAAGAGCTCTGCCGTATATCGCCTGGACGGTACAATCCCAGTCTTGGGATGTATATACTGGAATAAGATACGGTGTCCAAATCTCCTCAGCCGTAAATGTATATAGAACAAAAGCAGAAAACAAAATCCAGTAGTGTAGTATGTACAAAGCAATAGGGTAAGATAAAGCAGTAGGTGTCCTACTTACAGTTTCCAGTGCAAGGACTTGCTTTGGTGTTGAAAGTAAGGATATAAGCAGGACTCAAGTATGCAGCAGGAACAGGTAGAGAGGAATTGGTAAAAGCTGTGTCTTTATTGTTCCAAAATTGGTTAAAATCTACAACAAGCTGCCAATCACTCTCTGACCAAACTTAACGCGTTTTGCCCGGGCTTGGGCTTCTTCAGAAGTATAGATCCATATGTATAACTGTCCACATTATATAGGTACTTACAAATGAGTTCATAATAGACCGGTGTGTACACACTTCCTGCTTCCGTCAAATCGTGTGCGTCAACGGGAAGTGGCGCATCGCGATACTCCAAGAATGATGGGACATGTAGTCCAAGTATAGCTTTAGTCACCCGGAAGTGACGTAGCGCATCTCGCGATTGTAGATGGGAACTGTAGTATTTTTCAAGTGATGCTTTGTAGGAGTTTGTCCATCAGTCTATCGAATTATTAGAATCTTGAGCATCACTAGGATGGATATAAAAATAATAAATACTTATATATTAAAGTCAAAAGTGATGAAATTTAGAAGAACAAATATCAAACCACTACTTTATATCTCAGGCAAACTTTGCATACTTTACATATATCATATAATGGGTAGTAAAAAAATTAATTACAAATTTTGTAATAATAAATGTGACAAGACCAATCTCGCCACTGTGCATTGGAGGAGCCTGGTTGCCTGCCTGCTGCCTTTTGACTATGGACCGGCATTTAAATACTTTATTTTCCTATGCATGCAGAAAGGTCTATTCCTGTATTTATGCCCTGGCGTTTGGTAGATTCTCGGATTTACTGAATTAACTCATTTAACCCAGATAGCTATGCCATGGAGCCTATTCGTGTAATAAAAGACTTTGGCTCCATGGCGATTGAACTGTATGTGTGCGGTCTGAGCACCATTCAGTAATAATGTGCGCTCAGACCTAAGCTATCTGGGGATATGTTGCATGTCTGTATTTTATGTAATAAATGTAACCTTGTGTATTTGATTGTATTTTACTGTCTTTTTACTGCCATGTGCTTAATGGAGTTTTGCCTCTGTCCTTGGAGATAATTGAATTACTTCCCAATTATCTCCAGGATTGAAGACTCTGTGGAACTGGTTTTGGGCAGAAAAGCCATGCTTCATTTGGTCACAAAGGACTTTGTTCTATCTTTTGAACCAATGGACCAAGTTGGACGATTTTGACATATGTTTGTATTTGGAGTATGCTGATTCTGAAAATGTATGTGAATGTGATGCATACTTTTCAAGTTATGAATAATGTGGAAAAACTGTATTTCTCTGGCTGTGATAATTATATTACTCATTGTGTAAGGTAATCGTATCACAGGCAG